AGCTTTTGTCACTGTCTGCTTGAAACTTTCCGATATGCGAGATTGAAATCGGTTTTGTGGCCCCCAAAAATTAACAAAAGTGCGTAGCGTCTGCCAAACGTTTCCTCTCTCATCCTGGAGGAATGGTGTGCCTCTGTTGGTTCTCTACCTCTGTTTGTTCTCTACCCTTTCGCCTCTTTGGCTTGGAAAGTCCTGTCTGAAGTTACGACACCATCGACATAGCTCTCTGGGTAACAGGACATAGCTGTCTGGGTAACAGGGCATAGCTCTCTGGATAACAGGACATAGCTGTCTGGGTAACAGGACATAGCTCTCTGGGTAACAGGACATAGCTCTCTGGATAACAGGACATAGCTGTCTGGATAACAGGACATAGCTCTCTGGATAACAGGACATAGCTCTCTGGGTAACAGGACATAGCTCTCTGGGTAACAGCACATAGCTCTCTGGATAACAGGACATAGCTGTCTGGGTAACAGGACATAGCTCTCTGGGTAACAGGACATAGCTGTCTGGGTAACAGGACATAGCTCTCTGGGTAACAGGACATAGCTCTCTGGGTAACAGGACATAGGTCTCTGGGTAACAGCACATAGCTCTCTGGGTAACAGGACATAGCTCTCTGGGTAACAGGACATAGCTCTCTGGGTAACAGGACATATCTCTCTGGGTAACAGGACATAGCTCTCTGGATAACAGGACATAGCTCTCTGGATAACAGGACATAGCTGTCTGGGTAACAGGACATAGCTGTCTGAGTAACAGCATATAGCTCTCTGGGTAACAGCATATAGCTCTCTGGGTAACAGGACATAGCTCTCTGGGTAACAGCATATAGCTCTCTGGGTAACAGGACATAACTCTCTGGGTAACAGGACATATCTCTCTGGGTAACAGGACATAGCTCTCTGGGTAACAGCATATAGCTCTCTGGGTAACAGGACATAGCTGTCTGGGTAACAGCATATAGCTCTCTGGGTAACAGGACATAGCTCTCTGGGTAACAGCATATAGCTCTCTGGGTAACAGGACATAGCTCTCTGGGTAACAGGACATATCTCTCTGGGTAACAGGACATAGCTCTCTGGGTAACAGGACATAGCTCTCTGGGTAACAGCACATAGCTCTCTGGGTAACAGGACATAGCTGTCTATGTAACAGGACATAGCTGTCTAGGTAACAGGACATAGGTATCTGGGTAACAGGACATATCTCTCTGGGTAACAGGACATATCTCTCTGGGTAACAGGACATATCTCTCTGGGTAACAGGACATATCTCTCTGGGTAACAGGACATATCTCTCTGGGTAACAGCATATAGCTCTCTGGGTAACAGGACATAGCTCTCTGGGTAACAGCACATAGCTCTCTGGGTAACAGGACATAGCTCTCTGGGTAACAGCACATAGCTCTCTGGGTAACAGGACATAGCTCTCTGGGTAACAGGACATAGCTCTCTGGGTAACAGGACATAGCTCTCTGGGTAACAGGACATAGCTCTCTGGGTAACAGGACATAGCTCTCTGGGTAACAGGACATAGCTCTCTGGGTAACAGGACATAGCTCTCTGGGTAACAGGACATCGCTCTCTGGGTAACAGGACATAGGTCTCTGGGTAACAGGACATAGGTTTCTGGGTAACAGGACATAGGTTTCTGGGTAACAGGACATAGCTCTCTGGGTAACAGGACATAGCTGTCTGGGTAACAGGACATAGGTTTCTGGGTAACAGGACATAGGTCTCTGGGTAACAGGACATAGGTTTCTGGGTAACAGGACATAGCTCTCTGGGTAACAGGACATAGCTGTCTGGGTAACAGGACATAGCTCTCTGGGTAACAGGACATAGCTGTCTGGGTAACAGGACATAGCTCTCTGGGTAACAGGACATAGCTCTCTGGGTAACAGGACATAGGTCTCTGGGAAACAGGACATAGCTCTCTGGGTAACAGGACTTAGGTCTCTGGGTAACAGGACATAGGTTTCTGGGTAACAGGACATAGGTCTCTGGGTAACAGGACATAGGTCTCTGTGTAACAGAGAGGTGAGTTAGTGCGTACCCTTTACAGGACGTAGCGGAACCAACACCAGCCATTTCTGTCTCTTGTGGTTTTTCTAGGCACATTTTACTTTCAGTAGTTTGCCATTACTGAACGGTCGTCTTTCAATACCACTATTAAAACTGATGATGATGGTGAGATTCAACTCCACCAGGACATCCACCAAACGATAAACACCCGATGACACAAAGTGTCACCATATGGATGAGGATCAATCGGGGAGAGGTCCCAGAAACCCTGTTCAACCGTTAGGTTATATTAGGTGCCCCAACTACAGATGCGGTAGGACCTTTGAAATAACGAAAAACTGTGTCCTGTATCGAAACGATGGGTTTGATGACTATCGAAACTAACGCAATGCGAAAAATCACCTGCAGTTTGGATCGAAAACCGCTCCCGGCCTTACCACACGCCTAAGCCACAGACGCCAAAAGGTAAATGAGTAATTTTTAGAACGCCTTATTTTCCATACGGCTTAAGCCGTACACGTCCAGCTGTATTTATATCTAAAGATGGCCGTGAGCCGTACAGCGTCGCAGTGATGAGTTAGACGTAGTTTCCTGTCTTGCTAATTGCCGTTCCGTTGTTTGCTAAAACAAAAAACAAAAAATCGCCACCTTCAACCAACATCTCCGAAGGAGGAACTTTAGGTTATAATCGTGACAAGGTTATATGCGCCATACAAAATGGCTTAGCCACCAGGTAGCCTTATTGACTCTTGCAGCGTTGATCCGATCAAGTAAGACAGACCCCAATACTATTCCGACCGGAGTCGAAGTCCTCTGCCGGCGAGCCGATGATCGCCGATGATTTACTAGTTGCATCTCTTTGTTTGTCAGTTTCTTGCCTTGTAACGTGGTGTTCTCATTAACACGCATCGTACTTTTTTTATTGTTTTCAGTGGACTGCCTACAGTTTGTCAAAGTAAGTAAAGGACCTTTTTCAACCCCCTCAGGCGCAGTGGGTATATAGGGCTAAACCTATATTTTTATAGACCAAACGGCACTTGGTGGGTTATGTGGTCAGCATCACGCCGACCGCCTTTACTTCTCATGACTTACCTGGTACCCACTCAAGGCTGGGTCGACCTGAGACCCAAGGTAATTTAAAGAAAAAAAAAGACTGGACCCCGTCAAGACCCGATCCCACGACCCTCCGATCCGCAGCCGAGCGTTCAATCGATAGAGTACGGCGGCTTCCACCTACAGTTTGTGGATTACCTTCAATGTTTGAATGTATTTAACTCGGGGGCCGCGTTAGCGCACTAGATACGAGACTCGCTTTCAAATCCAGCTGCGACTCCCAGCAGCACAGGGCCGGTGTTCGAAACCGGGCGGTTCCCGGGGTTCACCCAGCCTTTAGGAAATCGTTGACACTCTGGGGTAAATGGAGGAACGTCGCTGTAGCTACGGAGTTACGTGCGGACGGTGACACAGGCGGACAGTTTCTTATCAGCTGTCCGTACTGGTGGCAGAGCATTTATGGTTTATAACCGTGTGCAATGACACTGGTTCACATCTCCCAACTTTACCTTTATGTATTCTGTTGCAGGTAACATGAGCCCGTACATGACATCCTACATGCGCAGGTATGGCTCGGCCCCCAGCCTGACGTACACCGAGTGTGCCTGGGTCTACGCCACTGCCTCTATGGGTCAGGGTTCCGCTATAATGATTGGGGGTATGATTGAGCGATTGATTGGGCCAAAATTGACGACTCTACTCGGCGGCTGGCTTATGAGGTATGTGAATTTAAAAACCAATCTTAGGTCATGTAGTACCAGGAAATGAATCTTTTGTTTATTGATTATGTTTTACGTTATGTATAGGAATGAAAGTCGGCTCTGTGGCTAAGTCGATGCGAACGCTTCGTAATGCAGGGATGCCAGGTTCGATCCCAGCTGCGGGCCATGGGCCTCTCGTTGGTTTAGACAGTGGTATCAAGAAAGCCGACCGTCCAGAGGCAATGGCAAACTACTGGACGTATATTTGCCTAGAAAAACCACACAACAGCCAGGGGCTTTGGGGTTGGATCTGCAACGTCCTGTAAAGGATACGCGACGAAAAAGAAGATAGGAATGGGAATGGCCAAAATATTGTTAACATGAAAAATACATAAACGACTGGAGGAGAGACATGAGTACAGAGAACATGGAGGGGTATGTTGGCGGAGGTGGTGTTCAATCTCTTATATATTTTCTGATGTGGCATCAAAAGGAGGCATAAGCCTTGTTTTAGTGCTTTATAATAGTAATAGCAAAAGCGTGCTGAATGGCAAATAAATATACTCGTAATAATATAATACACTTTAGTTTTGTTCCCGAACCTGAGTTTTGCATGCAGGAGATAGCTATATCTGGCTTATGTATTTGCATATTACCCCTCTTACAAGAGGGAGAGAGTGCGGGGAGAGGGCGAGAGAGTGCGAGAGAGAGAGAGAGAGAGTGCGAGAGAGAAAGTGAGAGAGAAAGAGAGCTAGAGAAAGAGAAAAGGAGTTCAGCCGCTATCCCTACTCTTCATCTTTTATTTGGGGGCCGGGGAGAGCTCTATGTGCCTAAGGCGCCCTTTCCCCCCATGCCGATGACTCTGACTGAGAGATTACAAACAATTACAAATTAGAATTGTTCACTATTAGGTCAAGTGAATCTAATTGCTACTGTAAGGTGCAGAAATGTGGGTGGGGAACAAGCGCTTAGAAAGTTGAAGCGAGGCCAAGGAGACGTGGTTATGCTGATGCTCTAATAGAGAGAGAGAGAGAGAGAGAGAGAGAGAGAGAGAGAGAGAGAGAGGGAGTAGAGGGAAAGGGAGTGAGATGAGAGAAATACATTATATTTGCAACAGGCGTGTCATCCATCCCATCCAGTTTTTATGAAAAACAAAATAATCAACTAAGTTTAACCTACTGCGAGCAGTATTGGTTATAACTATGGTCTGGTTTCTTTGCGCTAGTCTTTTTGGCTGTGTGATACTGCAGTCTTTGGAGGGAGCGGATGAGAAAGAAAAAGGCTGAGAAATTGAGGGAGGAAATGAGAGCAACCGAGCTTCTTGCGTTGTTTTTTAGCAGTGGTACCGAGAGCTGACCGTTCAGAAGCAATGGCAAACTACTGAACGTAAAAATGTGCCCAGAAAACTACAAAAGACAGTAAAATGCTAGGGGTTGGTTCTGCAACGTGCTATAAAAGATACACAATTAACTTAATAGAGAGGCAGTGAGCGAGAGACAGACAGACAACAGACAGACAGACAGACAGACAGACAGACAGACAGACAGACAGACAGACAGACAGACAGACAGACAGACAGACAGACAGACAGACAGACAGACAGACAGACAGACAGACAGACAGACAGACAGACAGACAGACAAATGAAACAACGTGTGCCTGCATCAGACAAGGCAGAGGGTACTGGAACATGCGATTTTTTAGAGGGGTTAGGTTGGAGGGGGGGGGGGGGGGAGCCGATGGAATTACAAACAATCAGGCAGAACTGAAAGACTCTTACTTGAGGATAGAAAGATAATTTCTTGCAGTAATGTGAAGACCTTCAACAAAACAACGAAACAGTTGTACGCAGAGCTGATGTCTCTATTTATATGTGTATCGTTTCGTTCTTTTTAGGATGAAATTTTTTGTTATTTGAAGCCCCACCTGGCTTTTTCCAGGGGCCGCAATATAGGCAGGCCATAAATAGGGCCAATTGTCTGAACGCGGTTTCTGGGACCTCTCCACGGCGATCCTCATCCACATGGTGGCACTTTGCGTCATCGGGTGTTTAACGCTTGGGTGATGTCCTAGTGGGGTAGAAAGTCAGTCAGTCAGTCATGTCTCTATTTGCAGCGCTGGAGTGCTTCTAACCTTCTTCTCAGTGAAGCATTCCTTTGCTGTGACTGTTGTCACTTACGGGGGAGTGTTTGGTCTTGGTGTTGGCATTGCTTATGCCAGTCCACTAGGTTGTGCAATGACAGTAAGTTATGTCTCGGCTTTCTGTGTTTCTGTATTTCTGTATGTCTGCTCTTTGTTATATATATATGGCTTTCTGTGTTTCTGTATGTCTGTTCTTTGTTATATATATGGCTTTCTGTGTTTCTGTATGTTTTGTCCTTGTTATTTCTCTGTGCTTCTGTATTTCTATATGTCTGTTCTTTGTTATATATCTGGCTTTCTGTGTTTCTGTATGTTTCTTCCTTGTTTTTTTCTCTGTGTTTCTGTATGTCTGCTCCTTGTTATATCTCTAGTTTTCTGTGTTTCTGTATGTCTGTTCCTTGTTATATCTCTTCAAGATAACACTGGGTGTCTGACCTTTGTCAGGTATAAAATCAGACCTGTTATTTAAGACTAGTTATGAGGATCTGATCAAAGACTTAGCAATCTGAACAACAACAACAACAACAAAAGAGAGAGAAAACTGTTCAAATATAAATAAATAAAGGGGAAGTATAAACAAAGTTAAGCTTTTTTTAAAAGAAAAAAATCTTACTTAGGATTTGTTTTTTGTCGATCAATAATTTTTGTGTCGTGCATTATTGTTTATATTTTGAATTACATAATATGGATATTTGAAGATCTTTTAAGTCTTTAAGGCTTCTAAGGGTCTTCATCCGGCCCGACTGAAGAGGGAGTGTGCTACGTGAACAAAGAGCTAAGCCAGTAATGGTCCAGTTATCTACATGATCACTCCCCCAGCGAGATACACACAAATCTGCTACCTTCTGGTAAACTGGATACAGTCCGAAGACTGGGGCAGATAGACCTGACATAAATTACTGTCAAACATTTCGTGCTCGGCTACGTCATTAAAAGGGGCCCCACACCAGTAAAACATAATTAGTCTTAGCCTTTCTCCATCCCCTCACTGCCTTACCCGGGGGACAGGCGGTTGATACGCTGTGTTTGAGGTTACAGCTAGGCTGTGATGTTTGTGCCTTTCAACCCACTCATCT